AGAAAGTGTAGCCGCTTGAGCCGAGTCAAGCCTTGGCTTTACAGGCAGGGGCCCTGTTCAGCGGGGCAGGTCTGAGTTGTTTGTAGCAGTTCCAGCTGCGGGTCAGTCAGGCCTGGGCCCAAGCTAGGCAGCCGGGCTGCCCAGGCTGGAAACCGGACCTGCCGCCAAGCCAAGCCAATCGGTTTTTAATGAATTCTTGTCACGTTGGGCGCCAAATGTAGATGTATCCAACCTTCCCATCAAACAATAAACACAGAACCAATGCAAAGAAGAAAGCCAAGAGGTCAGAGCCAAGAGCCAAAACCTTACCCTTCCTCCTGCAGTGGTCCTACCTCTCCGAACCAGAGCTACCCCTCTGTTAAAGTCTTTATATAGAGTTCCTGTCCTGCCTTCTCATTGGTTGTAAACCCAACCACATGACCGCCTCCTCACAGCCTGTCTGTATAGGCCTCCAGGTTTTCCATGATTGGTATTAAGATTAAAGGCATGTGTATCCAATAATGGCTGTATCCCTGAACACACAGAGACTTACCCAGCTCTGCCTACCAAGTGCTGGAATTACAAGCGTACGCTACCACTGCCCTGCTTTCCTATGGCTTGCTAATAGCTCTGACCCCCGGGCAACTTTATTTATTAACATACAAATAACATTTTAATACAAATAAAATATCACCATAGCCTGATAATATCACATTCACATTCAGGAAACAGAGCAGGAAGCAACAGACATGAGGTCAGACCAGAAGAGCCTCAAACCCCACAGACAGTGGTGCATTTCCTCCAGTGAGGTTTCACCTTCTAAAGCAGTAGTTCGCAAACTGTGGGTCACATCAAATGACCTGTTCACAGTGGTCACCTAAGACCATCGGAGAGCACAGATGTTGACATTATGATTCATAACAGTAGCAAAACTACAGTTATGAATTAGTAACAAAAATCATTTTATGGTTGGGGTCACCACAACATGAGGAACTGTATTAAAGGGTCATAGCATTAGGAAGGTTGAGAACCACTGTTCTAAAGGTTTTATAACCTGTACAAACAGTGCTACCAGTTGAGGACCAAGTGTTCAAAAACGTAAACATGTGCAGGACATTTCACATTCAAATCATAAGACCATAAATAACTTGCCTCGTATCCTTACCCATGGATGCTCTTCTCCTCCTAGATGATGGATCCCTCTCCTTCCTGTGTGGGAGCCCGTTTTCAGGTTCCTTGTGACTTTACCCAGCAGGTCTGCATAGAGAGGATGATTGGACCATGGACCTGAGTGCAGGTGTCTGAGATGGTCTGCACTTGGCTGTGCTGGGGGTGGGGAGGTTTTTTGCTCCACCACTTGGCATTTCTATAAATGCTTTAGGGCAGAGACAGTCAGGGCCCGTTGGAATAGGTTCTAGGCCCTCTGGAGGCTATCCTGTATTTTCTGTCTGTTTATCTCTGCACTCTAAATCCTTCTATCTAGTATTTCCTGCTGCTCACACTCAAGAAAACTCTGGGGAACTGTGGGGTTGGTGGGTAAACGTCCCACACTCCTGGATGTCACAAATTGTCCCTTTTGTCAGGTGTGTGGATGACCTCCTTATTAGAATCTCGGAGAGACTCTTAAATCTAGAAGGTCTCTGTGTTGTTCTTATCCAAACCATCGTTTACAGCTGGGAAATTGTGGACAGACATGGGAAATTGCTGGCTTAAAATCATTCTGCTACTTTGTGACAGTTCCATTAATAGCAATGGTGTCAGTGACACAGGCTAACATTGATGCAGCCTTTTCTAATCACCAGCATCTGTCCCCAGCACTGGAGATATGAACTGCCTTATTAAATCCTGTGAACAGACTTGAGAGAAAAAGTCTATAATTATCCCTGCATTACAAATGAGAAAATGTGGCATAAGAATAATGAACAAACACAGTCTAAGAATTCTGTCTAGAAGGGTAATTTCCATACCAGCGTACCTTTCTTATGCTTTGGCCCCCACTTTCAGTCTCTTGAAGGCATCTTCTAAAGGTAGTCACCCTGAGTACAGTGGGGGGCAGGATCATCTCCCTCTTCGTTAAAAGCATTAGTAGAGCAAATGGCCTGCTCTAACTATCCTTCATTCATTTTCAGTCAGACAAGTTATCCAGGGAGTCATATACATGGTTTGAAATGTTTTGTTTGTTTGTTTGGGCAGTGCTAGGCTGAACCTAGAGCATCACACCTGTGTGGCAAGTGTTATATCACTGAGCAATAGCATCTGCCCAGTGATTTGAAACCTCTAATACATTGTGACTTCTTAAATAAAGATTATACAGGCCAGAGTTAAACAGGCAGCCTTGAACTCAACTGAGAAAAAAGGAAAAGTGGGTTTTTTAATCCTGGAGTTAGCTGGCAGGAGAGCATTGGAAAGCCTTGGAGTGTCTGTGGGGTCATTAGTGTGGTTAAGCTATCTGAAGCATCGACTGTCACCTAGAGAATTTAGTCTCCACCTTCCTACAGAGGTAGGAAGAGGGCAGCTCTGTCTTTTTTGGTTAAGGCTGTATTTCAAAGGACTATCTCCCCCATGGTCCTAGGGAAACATGTTTCTAAGTTATTCAAGATTTACTTCTTAAAATGACAGAGACAGAATCAATAGCTGCAAGTTTTCTAGACTGAATATCCTAAGAGGCCAGCAGCTATACCCAGAGGATACCTGCACAGAACTTAGCAAAACAGAGGGAAAGTAGAGACCATCATGTCAAACAGCGGGAGGCAGGCCAGGCTATTGAGGCATGATGGAGGAAGGCTGGTCTACCCAAGGCCACCAAACAGACTGAAAAGTTGTGTTGTTTCCCTTCAAATGCTCAGGGGCACAGGTCTGCCTTTACAAATGGTAAGTGTATCCAATTCATCTGCTTTAACAGCTTCAAAAAACACCATTTAATTGGCATTTTATTTTTTCTGTCCCTTCTTCATGTATTTGAATACTTAGGAAGAACATTTCTAAGCCATTCTATCCTCGCCTCTCATGCTGGTTCATGTGTTAAGTGATAATGAGGAAGCTGCACCATTTGTGTCCCTTCACAAGGCTAGATACCTTTCCTTATAGCTGAAGTCACTGCCCTGTGGTGAGAGGTGAGGAGAAAGTGAGAATGACATAAACCTCTGACTTCAGGGTAAAGCTGTAACTCAGAGGGTGACTCTTTAATGCTGTCATTTGTCACACAGCAAATTAATATTCTTGTAATTATTCACCACCAGAAATGAATTAGTGATGTTCACGCGGATGACCAGTGACTCACAAAATAGTCAGACTGTGAAAAACATAACTTTGGAACGAAGCCACTGTCATAAATACACATTTTATTATGTAAGAGTTTTCAAAGCATATGTTTGAAAGCTCGTTAGCATTGTTAGGAAATGCACAAGTGGGCTTTTATGCTTCCTAGATGTATAATTCGCATCACTGGTGTCACTTAGCCCCCACTGAGGCACAAGGACATGCTTGAAACAAGAACTGATTATCAAATAAGTAAATGCATAATAATAAAACCTTCATGGAAATGGAATCATTTACACATTGAATACACATCCACAAATTACACAGCCCATGCATGGTCTTTCAAAGCCTACAGTTGCTAAATACAATCCCAAGGCCAAGAGCACAGAGCCTCTATCCTAATTGAGGCTATATAAAACCAATATATATATATAAAACCAATGAATATAAATAAGACAAGAAATATTAGATGATGGTGTCAATTAAAAGAGAGTGGGATGCTCTCTGTGTTTGGTGGTCAGAACAACCTTTCTAATGAGAGGCTGAGGGAAATTGCCAGGTATGCTGTGATGTGGGGGGGGGGGGGCAAGTAGAAACATCACCTTCAGAAAGTGGGTGACATGATGGAGAAGCCATGGGACGGACAGAACCCAGGAGTACAAGATGTGCAGGCAGGGAAGTCCTGCAGGACATGAGGTAGCTGAGGTAGGCTACACTATGTCATGTGGGATGAAAAAGACTGGGGTAAGAAAATGCATTTTTTTCTAAATGCAGTGTGGAGCAACTAGCAGATCAGGGGAGAGAGTACTGTGTTCTGCATGTTCTGTGTGCCAAGCACTGTGAGGTAGGGGTATGGAAGACATAAAAATACACCCTGACACTGTGTTCTCAAGCTCGCACCAGCCTGGGGTCTTAGCTTCACTTTCTGGGTCCAGATGTCAGCTAATGGCACAGTGTCACAGAATACTAAAGCTGACCTTTTCTTGGAACACAGAGCTGCCTCTACCAGCTGAATCTTGTCCTGCATGCCTTGGTCTAAATGTTCTCCATGCCTCCTCTAAGCCTCTCCCCATTTCCTCCCAGAAAATTCTTCTAGTAAGGTCACTGTTACTTGAATCACCATTCCACTTCCTGGAGGATCAAAACTAACTCAGGAACTACAGAGAAAACTAAAATATCCCTGATGTTAGGAACAACATGAAATGCTATCCTCTGAAACTTATGAGTAACGCCCCAACAGTAGAATAATTATATTAATAAATATAAGTATGTAATATCCTAATTACTGTGCCTTCATAAAGTGATAAAAGCATATGTTCAATACAGTAGTATTATTTAAAAACTGAAATTGCAACATCAATGATAAGGAAGAATGGTCAGTCAAGAAAAACTAAATAGTTTTAAAATATTATTGTGGGTAGGTACTGGAAGGAGTGGGCATTCTTGTTAGAGGAACAGGGTATTCATATGTTCTAGCATCATCATATTGTTATGTATCCATGGCCCTTGGATCATTTAATGTCCAAGATTTCAAAGCCTAGAGCTGGGATAATGGGCAAAGGCTACACAGCTAAGTATTGGCCAGAGTCCCTGGTTTCAGTTTAGCAAAGGAAGAGATAGAGAGTAACAGGGACAGAATAGTAGTTTTCCTTTATAGAAGGATCACTATGGTGAGTGTGAAAGACTTTGTATGAGAAACAATATTTGGACTGCTTTGTGGCGCTATTTACCTTGTAGTAATGGACTTACTGTTATATCCACAGAGGAATTCCGGTCTCTTCGCTTGGCCTTTTCTCCAAACTTGGATGACTACAACCCTGACATCCCCGAATGGAGGAGGGACATCAGCAGAGTCATCAAAAAGTCTCTGGTGGAAGTGAGTACAAGCATTGCCTTTTCCCCATCAGACAGAGTCATTCCCTGACCTTGAATGGCTTCATGGAGAACAGATTCTTTGCAAAGGAAGGAGAAGACAGAGCTGGAGCCCAAAGCAGATATCAGTTTGATATCTTAATATTTGTGATCCATATGTGCATGCCTGTCTTCATTATTGGGTAAGTGCAGCCCTCAGAAACATATGGCCTTGCCTCCTGTGAAGCTAATTCTTCTTCAAGAAGGACATGGGCATCTGTGAGAGTTATGTAGCCAAGTTTGGAATTTGGTAAATTTTTCATTAGTAAATGAAAAATCAATGGCTGTGTAACCAAGGGGAACCCTGGCTAAGTGTCTTCAAGGGTGAATGTAATGAATAAAAGAAGCCCAGGCTCCAGATCTACATCTGTCAGCAGAGTTTCACGAGCACATGGTACAGGACACCTACCCATATTTCAGTGTCTTAATTCTTTTAAAGACATTTCTTTTCCTTCCCAAGAGAAGGTGATTAGTATCCTCCTTTTGTAGAAAAAGCAACTGAGATAACTCCTCCAGACTCTCATGAATAATAGGTGACAAACTCCAAAACTGAACTGAATTTCCTGTTTCTCATGTCTGGGGTCTTACAATGAAGCACAGCTTCTAATCCTCCTAAGCTTTCTGGAAGAGTAGCAAGGTGATGTGAATTATTCCCAGGCGGGTACAGGGTTGCTGAAGACTGAAGGAGACATCTTTCTTAAACACTCCTTCTCCCATCTGCTTCACTTGCATCAGTGGGTTAAAGAGTGAAGCATCTGCTCCTGGGTTGGTCAATATAGTGTCCAAACATGGGAAATCAGAAACATCCCCACAGTATGCTTGTATTAGTTAGTATTTGCTGATAAACAGAGCTGACAGAATTAATATTTTTAAAGGAGATTTATTAGAGTGGCTTATAGGCTGTGGTCCAGCTCGTCCAACAATGGCTATCTCCCAACAGAAAGACCCAAAATCTGATAGTTTTTCAGTCCATGAGACTAGATATCTCACCTGATCTTCAATATACCTTGGGATCCCAAAAAGCTAGGTTTTAATACCAGTGAAGGAATGCCTTAGCAGCAGGCTAAATTAACTTGCCAGTAAGAGTAATGGCAAGCAGGCAAAAAGCAAAAGCATCCTTCTTTCATGTCCGTTTTTATAGGCTGTCACAAAAGGTGTGCCCCAGATTTAGTGTGGGTCATCTGACCTTAACTGATTCAGATTTAGGTCAGATCTTCCCAAGTTAAAGTGGTCAAACTTAGAGTGATTCTTCCCATCTCAAATGATTCAATCAAGAAAAACCCCTTCAGGTCTACCCAGCTGCCTGGTTTTTAGTTAATTGCAGATGTAGGTAAGTTGACAACCAAGATAAGCCATCATGCGTTCCTAGCACAATAGGAATTATCAATATATCATTTGTATATATTCTTTTCTGCTCCCAAAACATGCTGGAGCTTGATGCAAAGCAAAGATGCAGTAAAGACACTACGATAACCTCTGATTAGAAAGGCAATTTCATATGCTACCTATTAGTGTCCACCTCCTCACCTGTGCCTTTATTGGTAAATATTTAACACTGAAAATATCTCAGTTTTCTTGATGCTTCATATTATTTAACTACATTTAATAGCAAAAATAAGCTGATATTTATTTTATGCTCATTTCTACTTTATAGGTGAGGAAGTTCAGCAAGGAGGCAAAAACCATGTAATTAAAAGTCAGGGTTTGAAGTCAGACCCTCAGAGTTAGATTCTGAACTCTATGTAGCGCTACCGTACTCTAGTCTTTGTCTTTTTTCAATAGAAAACAAGGACAACGGGAGTATTTGAGTGGAGAAGGGGAAAGTTGGGTACCTCTGAGTAACTGTCATTTCACCTCTGTTTGCATTGCTCTTAGCATCTACCACATTAATGGTTCCATATCCTAGCCACCAGAAGGCTCAGTTGATAGACGATTGGCTCAACAGAACTCAGGATTACTGTCTTTGCAGTTGCCTGTCACCAGCACCACAACTGATTTATTTCTTCTGATATCCAAGAAGATAGGTTATCCCCTTCAATGAGCCCTTTCCAAGACTCTTACATCTATAATTTTCTAAGCACCTTGGTTCCCCAGAAACTGTGTGATTCCCCCAGTAATTCTTCAACAAGGAACTAACTCAGCAATGCCGAGATTTCTGACTCTTATTTCTATGCACACCAACTTTCTATGGATCATAAATTGTGAACATCTACCTTGCAACTAGCTTCCCAGTGGTCTAGAAACACTGCTCATTAATATTTCCAGTCTACTGTATATAATAGGCAACTGGATGCAGAATAACTGTGTTGGATCAACATCCCCCAGGATAGGGTGGTGGTGATCTAGAGACAAGGAATAATTAATGCTGTTCAGATTTCCCAAGACACAACTGATCTGTTTTCTTGTCCCAATTGTTACTTCCCACATCTTTTAGATCAGTAATTACACTTGGCCACTTCATTAAGTCCTAAGGGACCTCATTAATTGTGCTGTTCCAACGAGGACAGCTTGAGTCACTTGTTTACAGTTTATTATGTTGCTATGTGACAGAGCCTTATATAAAATTGGTTATTATTTCTTCTACAAATTGGCTTTTGATATGGACATAGCATAATGGAAACTTTAAATGAATTTCTGTCAATAGATAATTTTTTGCATATGAGGATGCTTTGAACTTAATCTCAGAGTTTGAAAGTTAGTAGGCATATATGATATGTTGTCAGCTGTAATGAATTATATTGTGGCATCAGGATAAAGGAATCACAGAAGACAGGTTATATTTGTATGCTTCATAGCTAGGTCAAAGCTCACAGCATTACCACCAAACCTTTCCCAGATGATTTTGATCCACTGCTTGACCTTGCTGCAGTTACTGTCTGCCCTGGGTCCTAGATACCTAGATACCTATTCTTAGCTGGAATAGGTATCTTAGCTGGAATGGTGTTGTGGGCTGCATTGTTCTGATACTCCTCAGATTGGGTCATGTCAAATAAATGTGAGTCTACAGAGTCAGTTTGAGACATCTCTGAAGAGCCAATCTATCTCCTTATGAGACCTCTTGAGACTTCCATTGGGTCTCCATGACAGCCCAGCTCCTTCAGCCCATACCTGCTCCATTTCCTTCTAGATTGCTGACTAGTCATTGAGTCAGCTTCCTGAGTATCACAACCTGCAGTGTATCTTCACCTGAAAAGTGGGGCATAATCATGCTTCAAGGGTTTATGGTGAAAAGCTGCATATAACATTGCTAAGTTACTCAGCACACCTTCTGGATAAATCAAAAAGCACTAATATATTGGATTTACTGCCAATTTGGAAAGAGCAGTTAAGAAATAATCACTACAGTTGGAAATCATGAAAAAATGTTCTAAAATACATAGCACTTTTGATGACTAATAGGAGATATGTAGAAACATACCAGCAAAATATATAAGAAAGATATTTGAAGAAGCATTGTAGGCATGTACAAATACACCTATAGGAAAAGCTAAAATGTGGAAAAATTGTTTAGGATTCCATTTGGCTAGAGCAATAAAAGCTCATGTAAGCTGCAGGTAATTGGTTTGAAAAGGAAGAGTGGAACCACTTTATACAACTCCTTAAGCATATGCTTAAATCAGTAGCAATGGGATTGATTGCAAGCACTTTAAACAGAAGAACATAGCTGAAGTTGGACTATGGTAGGAGTAATGTGAACAGAGGAGCCTGCCTCTTTGAGATGAGGATACCATTGCAGTACTCTAGGGTGGTGACCTGAACAGCTGACTTGAGATCATCAACAGTAGATGGATATCCACAAGAAGGAAGAAGATCATTCATTCAAAAGGCAACAGGTTAAATTCTCACATGTAGCAGGAGAAAAAGAGGAAGGCATATGTCCAAGATGAATGGTCCCAAGCTAACATAACTGAAAAAAAGCCTACTTTGGGACACAGAAATATAGAATGAAGATATAGGAATTAATAATGAGAAGTTATTTTTAATATGATTATTAAAATCTTAGTGAAGTAAAAACATAATATTTTGAGTGGTCACAAAGGGAAAAGTGGATTCTATAACTATCTTGGGAATGGGCTCAGAGTGAACCCTAAGCTATCAGCATGAGAGCAAATGATTAAACAAGGAAGAAGCTTTTGAATGCTACTTGAATGTTTTATGTTAATTTATATGAGTATGTATTAATAATATATATAATGGGCTTGATTGTGACATTTTTATTTCATATATGTATGTAATGTATGCTGATCAATTTCATCCCCTTTTAGCATTTGGATTTCAGCAGAAGTGCTTCATGTAATCAGAGTCACTAGTTAGAAAGTCAACTATTACTCTTAAAATTTTTCTACTTAAAGAAATATAAGTACAGGCATAAACAACTAAGAAGACAGTCACTGTGATGGATCTCAGATTGAGCCTGAATCACACATTCTGCTCTGAACCTAACTGATGACCCAAGGATGCCCTTTCTATCCCCTGCTTCCTGCAGTACCCAAGGGTCTGCTCCTAAGTCACCACTTCTCATATTCCAGTATGGCTTCTGTCTGTATTAGTGCCTAATACCTGCCTCTTTGTCCTCATTCTCTGTAGGACTCACAGAATCTCTTTGTGTCTCCCACAGGCCACAGGGATTCCCAGCCAGCACATCCTGGTGGCAGTGTTGCCTGGCTTACCCACAGCTGCTGAACTCTTCATTTTGCCCTATCAAGATGCAACCAGAGAAAACAAAAGGTCACCAGAGGACCTGGAGCAGGTGAGTTGCCCAGAAGACATTTCCAACTTCTCCCTCAATTTCTTCCATGATCTGAGAGCAAGTGACTTGTTTGAAGGCCGTGCCACTTAGAATTTTGGTGAAGAGATGACAGGTTTAGAGAGATCTACACTAATTTTGTAGTTTTGTCACTGATATTCATGGATCTATCAGACAAATGAAGAAATCAAAGACAATAAATTAGTATCAGTAATTTAGTTAAAGTCACAACAATCCCATAGGTATTTTTGTTGATTAAAGAAATAATAAAAGAAAGCACTTGGCCAATATAGTAGATGCTCATTAAATGTAACAATTATATTTAATGATTGTTTTATAATAAAAAACAATGTGGAAATAAGAAAACTTAGTTCTTTAGATTATGAAATAGACTGAGATACTGAAGAACATTTTTGGAACAAAGAATGTTGATAGTGAGGAAGTAAAATGATTAATGAATTGACTTTCACAAAGTTGAGAATCAAATAAAGACAATAAGAAAATGGAAGAATATATAGTGACAAAGTGGCTAGTATCAGCTATGAGGGTTTATAGTGAAAGAGGTACTTCTATAATTTCATTGAAAAGCCAAGCTACCAAGCTAGAGGTCAAAACACTGATTAAGGAAATTGGTTATATTTTAGCCTGTCCAGAATTGTAGTCAAAGTAAACCCAACATTCATATAAAACTCACGAGAAATTAGTGACTTAGTTCTGGAGAGCATTATTATCCTGACTAAAAAATGCAATGGTGAAATTACCTTATAAGGCCAGGATATGTATTGAGACTCCATGAAATAGGTTGCCTACAAGTAACCTGTAGTTTTTATTCTACGTAAGGTCTGTTGTTTCTTTTCTCAATCACTTAAATAACTGAGAAAATGGTAGGAGTGAGCTTAGAAACTCATTTAATTTAAAGGTCCAGAGATCCAGTTCAGAGAGGGATAAATTCAGAACAAATCCAGAATGTCATCAAGCTGTTTCTTTTCTCTCTCCTTCTTCTTTCTTATGACCACATAGAAGCTTCTGCAAGAATAAATCCAGTACATGGGAAAGCAAGGATAGCTATGCAACACCAGCTTCTATTTAGCCTGAGGCTAACCCCACTGTAAAGACTGCATCTGTCCTCCAAAGGCACCACCAGGACTCCTAGGTTTGCAGTTGTCATGGGTCAAGTGTCGGTCAAGTGGACAGGCATCTCTTAATCCTTGCAGTCGTATAGATAGAGTACCACTGCTAAAATTTCAGATGTTTTTGCCCCATTGCAGATTAGAGGGTTTCTATCTAGAGGGTTTAGATTAGTCTTTCCCAAACTAAAAATAAACGTGAAAGCAGAAGACAAGGTTCTTCATTGAAAAATGTGAAGGAGGAAGGAACATTGGGAAAGCTAAAACAGCTTCCAACGTAATAACATATGCAGACTTTTTAGACAAATACAAAAGATACAAGCAACAAAAATGAGCCCACTGTGTGAGAGCTGACTTAGCAATGCTGCTGATTTTAGTCACTCTCTTCATGCTCTGGTCCCCTCCTTCTAGACGTTGTACCGAATGCCCTGTAGGATAAGAGCATGGATCCTGTCCAGTGGTTCCTGAAGAGAGGGAGGGGAAAACCACAGTGAAGTATCCCTGGCTCTCTTCTCTGAGCCTCTTCTGAGAGGACTCCCCAGGGAAAAGAAAAGCTAGTTGAATGGAACTATCTTGTCTGTAAAATAAATTGAGAATTCTTCATGGCGAGAAGCACTTGACCCTTTATCAGGATGCCACCACTAGGTTAATCAAGTGCCCTCTATCTGGGAGAGCTCCACCAGCCTTGCTTTCAGATCCCCAGAGAGTGTGAAAAGACTCTCTTGCCCTTGGTGGCCTCATCAAGAAGAGCATATCGTGCTATCCTAAAACCAGCTGCTCTGGGCCCTTTATCCCATGCTTCTCTCTGAGTCTTCTGGGATGACAGGTGTGGATCTGCCACTCCTGGAAGGAAGAGAGACCACCATGCTCTGAGGAGGCTGTGATGTCTTACTGGAGAGAGAGGGGACTTATAATTGTAGTCTTTCAAACTCCTTAAATGACATTATGGGAAGAGCATACCAACTGGTTATCCAAAACCAAATGTTCAACCCTGAAAACATATTTACAAATGACAATATATAGACTGAGCAGGTCATATTTAGAAACATATATGTATATATGTAAACATATGTACAAGACAATGAAAAAAACATAAATTCAGAAGAGAGCTAAAAGAGTTATATGAGAAGGTTTACAGGCAGGAAAGGAAAAGGAGAAATATTACACTTGTATTATAATCTCAAAAATAAAATTAAGTTAAAAGGTATTTAGAAGAAACAAAAGGGACAGTAGGAAAACACCAAACACAAATAATACATTTTCTGTTTAGTCTGTGTTACTCCTTACAGATACAGATTGCAAATCTTGAGGGCAGAAAAATGAAAGACATCTGAGAAAATAGATTAATCTATTGGTGACATTTAATAAGCTTAATATTTACTATTAAATATATTCAATAAGCACAACTTCTTTATTTTGTGCACTTATGCTATTCCCCATCAGTTCTGAATTTGAAACATGGGGATTTGAGTTATAAAGATAATATTATATTGACTAGGAAGGTCATTAAAATAAGAAAGCTGTAATCAATATAAGGCTAATAAGAGGTGAACCAAAGGTATATGGCTAAAGAACAGAGAAGCTTAAAGATGACAGTGAACCATCCAAAGAAAGAATGGAAGTAGGTGAAGAAGCCTCAACTTGAATTTAGAATTTGGCTCCACAGCCTCTCCACCATGTAGTTGTGTTGTTTAAGTTGGGGTAAAGCTTTCTCTGTTAAAAACAAAAACTTCCTCAATTAGTAGTTGAAGGGACCACAGGTCCAGGCTTTATCAACTGGGTCTTCTCCACCTTAGCCGGTATTTTCTCTAAAGATGGCACCAGAGTAGTATTTATATTCGGCAAGGTTTACATTCCTCAGACCAACTTTATGAACAAGTGTTACTACTACTTTGTGTGGTGGTATTTTACTTGTACTGAAATGTGATTTTAATTGTACGTTAATAAATAAAGTTGCCCAGGGGTCAGAGCTATTAGAGCCATAGCAAGCCGGGCGGTGATGGCACACGCCTTTAATCCCAGCACTTGGGAGGCAGAGGCAGGCGGATCTCTGTGTAGCTTTTCGCCTCTCCTGGAACTCACTTGGTAGCCCAGGCTGGCCTCGAACTCACAGAGATCCTCCTGCCTCCGCCTCCTTCAGCAAATCCTACCAGTGTTCTGTGTTTCTTATTTAATAAGACGGTTGGTTACATCTACAACTTTGGACCATGGTAACCTTGTCATTGACAAATTTGCTAAAGACTTTTATAAAAGTATTTACTATTTGGGAATTTCAAAAAATGTGCATAAGAGCACCACACATCTGTGCTATAACCACAGCTCCTGCCACATAAGAGCCATTCAGGACTATATGTGCTTTCATAGACTTCTGAGGCTCTGAAGTGAAAACCTTTTAGCTCTCGGCGGGGGAGCGGGCCAGGGAGGCGGGGTTCGTTCCTGTGCTCAGGAGCTGCACCTAGCCATAGCTGAACTAGGACATTTCAGTTAAACCATTTGCATACCAACATTGAGTGTTCCCAAGACCAAACTGCAAGTATCAGCTTGTTGATCCAAAACCTAACAAGTTGGGGTGCCACCAAATAGAGATCCAAATGCCCACTCAACAAAGGTGGGACAGATGCCCATATCAAACAACACTACTAATGTTCTAACTGCAGAAGCCCAGGTTTCAAAATAAAACCACAAATAACACTAAACACCAAGACAATATGTGTCCTCCAAAGTAAAATATTATTTCCCCAGTAATGTTCACCAAGGGAAGCAACTCAGATTATGCACAAGGTAACAAATTCAAAATAACAATTATAAACATGTTCAAGAAACTCAAAGAGAATGTGAATAAATCCTGGGATAAAGACCAAAAAAACATAAACTTTTGAATAAAATAAGGAAGGCAATTCAACATTTTGCTTTATTTAAATAAGATTTTTATTATTTTAAAGTTTCATACATGTAAACAATGAATTTTGATCATATCCAATTTCCACATCCCCCTCCCAACTTCATGTGGTCTTTCCTGAATCTACATCTCCACCTTGTACCACCTGTTTGAACCGTTTCAAAAACTAACTCCTCTCTTCAGCTTCCCTTTTGTTCATGTTTCAATGATTGACATTTTTATTCCTGTTATGTGAATATGTTTTCTCCAAATACTTTTATTAAAGATGATCTAAATGTTGAATATGTTCCTAGTATGGTGACCATCACCATGTAGACCAAATATTGACAGCCCACTGTCTTTGGGGGCACGTAGGATGATAACAATGATTCTCTACTCTCTGGGGAGAGCCTCATCACTTATTTAAGACAATTGAGTTGGAAGAAGGAATTCCATGGGTCTCTTCCAACCTGAAGAAATTCAATGGTTGCAAGTTCTATTCCTGTGCTATAGTAATGGAAACATTTGCAATGGCTTTTTCTCCAGTCTGGTTCCCCATGTGGTAGGAAGCATCTGCCCACCTGTGGTGGATATTGTGCATGAAGGGGAAAAAGGGCCTCTTTTGTTCACATCTCTGAGAATTTTCCATTGTTACTTTACTCAAGCTGAGCTGATTCTGATTGCTACACTCAATCTTCAACTTTTGAGATAAAGATAAGGCGAATTGAATTGCTGTATTTCCTATAGTAAGGATCTCCCATGACATCTCTTTCTAGTGTCTGTATTGAGTCACCATTGCCTTTTCAAATAGTAATTTAAATGAAGTGTGAACTTCATCTGAACCATAGGCATATCCTACCGAACAGGCAGATACCAAGAATAATAGGCTGTTTCTTGAGCTGTGATTGTTTAGCTGAAGTAGAATAGGAAATGGTCTGTGTAGGAAAGCAGTGAAAGAGGAATGCTGGCATGAATTAAAAATGAAATTCACTTAGAAGGCACACTTTTCACTGGACAGCAAGAGAAGTAAATTCATCTCACTTCAGCAAGTCTGCTCTCTGAGTGATCACATACGATTTCACTTGAGTCTTTGTCAGGCACTGCTTGCCCTTCTTATCTAGGCTCTTACTATGCTTCCTGTAGATTGTAGTTTATTATACTCTTTCTATTTTCCACAGTTTCAAACATTACAATCTGTATAGACTGGTGGAATGAACACTTTCATGAGGAAAGTGGTAGGAGATGCCTATTCCTGTGCCCTACATTGCTCAGTGGCATTGGGGACAGTATTGTAGTTTGTGTGTGTGTGTGTGTGTGTGTGTGTGTGTGTGTGTGTGTGTGTGTGTGTGTGTATGTGTTTTACAGGTGGATTAGAAATGACAGTGTAATGAATTACATACTGTGCCACTTTTATCTCCTAAACTCAGTTACCCAGATATATAACTAGACATCTTCCTTAATCCCTCTTGGTCAAATAGTTCAGGAAATCTTTTTTTTTTTATTTTTAGTAGTGCTGAACTAGGATTAGGAGTCAAACAAAACTGAAGTCTAGTCTCAACTCCTCAAATATTAACTTGGATATGTCCTTTGAGCTCTATTCTCTTCCATGGGGATGCCAGCATAAACACAAGGAAAAATAGAAAGACATAAGCAACATTATCAAAATAAAGTGTTCAATGCATATATCATATATTTAAATATATAAATAACATCTCATGATCTCATAAAGACAATACAGAGTAAGTACTTCAGTAATTAACCTGGTAAGAGGTTTAAAGAGTTGTTGAAATTCCTAAACTGTTTACTACTATTTGACTAGTAAAACGCCCGGTTCTAATTAAGGTTATTCTTGTATGGAATGTAAATTACTTTAACTTTTGCTTCTTATGCATAATTTCTTTCCCACAGAGTACAGATTATTTATCAAATATCTTTTGATGCAAGTTAAATAACATGAAACACATTCTGTTACCTGATTAATTTTTCATACCTGGTTTAGTTTTGTAAATAGACAAATCCAATGAAGTAATGATAGAAACCAACACACCTCTAATTATTTTCATGAGGGGCTCTCCTGGAGATAATAAATTAAAAGTATGTTGTTCTGATAAATTATATTTTCTGATTTAGTTATTTATATGTCTCATTTGAATATAAATATGTTCATGACTAGAAAGTAATATCATTTCACCGGGTGAAAGTGAGAAGTCCTCCTGTTGGAGATACATAGTTTGGTTTTATGTTTCTGATATTCTCTAGGAAACAGGCCAGTTTCCTAATTGCTTCTGAGACATCTTTCATGTTTGGACTAGAATGTTTTTTCATTATATGTCTACATATGCCTGTGTTTGGATGTTTGCATGTATATGTATGTTAATAATCTACATTCATTTGTAAGTTTCAAAGCCAAAACCTTGTAATAGACATTTACAAAAAATCCATTGTTTATTTCCTTTCAAGACCCCACTAACTGAGTAGTAATCAGAAATTTCAGAGAAAACACCTTTGATGAAGTTGCTTGGAAATCTATTCTTCCTATAAACCTAGACTGCTAAGGAAAATTTCGCATGCTCATAAGAAAGAAGTATCTTCACAGAGGGACCAAGTTGTTTGCAGCATGGTTTTAACATAGCCTTGCTTTTCTTCATGGTTTCACAAATGACAACGTTTGAGAGAAGGACCCCAGGTGCTATTCATGGGGCATGGAGGATCACCTCACACTCCTCTTGTTCATAACACTGTAGTTACATTACCAACTAGTGACTTCTATATGGACTCCAGACTAAACCATCAGGTTGCTTAATTATTAAGGCTCCACAAGTTGCCATTTTGGCAACTTAGTAGAGAAGATGAAACTCAGCAAATAAAACAGGGAAAACAGAAGAATTTAACTAGAAGAACAATGGTCAGCATCCATCTAATTAGACTTAATAGCATACTAAATAATATATGAACTTGAGGCTTAAAATAGTATATTAAAAATAAGGCAAGAATAGCAGATAAAAATAAGTAGTATGATTACTCCTCAGAGCCTTTCAGAAATTCCCCAAAATGTGTGAGCCAAGCATAATAAATTTCTATGGTAAACAAAAAAGAGCTTTTATCCTTTCTGTAACACCTTATGGTATGCAATTTCTCCCCCAACACCTTGCCTTGGCCGAATAGTCCATGGTCTAGAATTCCATGTCTCCTACCAACATATACCAGCCTCAGGAATGGTTTAGCAAATACCTATATGCATGAAACAAAGATTAACTAACTCGTTGCTTAAACTGTGGCTGCATTGTGTTTAACTGTATTGTTTATTGTATTATTGACATTTATTATCCAACAGTCATAACTTTCTTATCCATGAAAGCCATGGGATGGTTTAGAGAAAGTGAAAGAAGCAAAGTAAATCACACCCAGAATGTGTGGATTGTACCAACCCACTACTTTTCAGGTCTTATATATAACAGATTTTCACTTTCTGTCATTTACAGTATAATGTTAGCAGGCCTTGGTGAACATTCAAAGTATTTCTCAGTGTGTCTGTTCACACTCAATATGACTATTTTGGTGGAACTAACTATAACACTTCTTTCAGATATCTGAAGTTCTAATCCACAAACTCAATCAAAATTTGGTGCACTTCGAGCTGAAGCCTGGGGTCCAAGTTCTTGTTCATGCAGCTCACCTAACAGCAGGTCAGTTTCCATGTTTGGGGCTTTTTGCTAGCCACTGTACTGAAGAGAAATCACATCTATTGTAATCAGGGATAGATGGTAATTATAAATTGAGCACAGTTCTTGAAAATCTACTTGAATGATGGTTCTGCCACAGTGAGGAACCAGTTCGGCAAGAGAATAAGATATTGCTTCCACTTAGTCCCTACAAAAAAGTTTAATAAATCATTTAAGTGCATGCTCTCATGTGATAGCATGCTTTGTTTCAACATACCTATAAATAGAGCATTAACTTTCAAATCTTTCTATAAAGCCTTATTTTCAATCCATTCATAGCACAAAGCATTTGATTTCTTTATGTTCCAGGCTATGGTAGTACAGGTGAAGTAGAGGTGTAGGGGAGATACAGAGGCAACCTGCATTTGGTCCTAATTTTGTAAATAAATGTTCTTAATCATCTGTCTCTTTACTTATAAAAAGTAGGCAGGGAAATCCTCCTTCTAACTATACAGAAAGATTTCAATAAAAAATAATCTCAAGAATTTATAAGTAGATATCACTATGTATATTAATAATTAATTAGATGAACAATATTTATCAATTACTTGTTTTGGCAGCGTATTACAGTGATTCATGGGGTACAAATGCAAACTGGAAATAGGATGTATACTGATGAAACTTACAATATGGGTTAGTGTGGGAAAGTATGGTGGTGGTATTTGTTGGAGGTGTGCTATAGGACAGGGAGAAAGTATAGGCAGTTGGGGGAATCTCTCAATAGGAGCATGTGTGAGTGTTTGTGTAGAGAGTAAACACATTGTCTATAAACATTTAACTTTTAAAGGCATTTTTGTTTTGTTTTGATTTTTTTTTGTTTTAGCCATATCTTTAGTTTCCATCATTTTTCTAGAACTCACTGTGCATACCTAGAAACAGATTTACATTCTGTGTACTGTAGAGATGGCTATGGAATGTAAGACAGTGGGAAAATTACCTTAATTTGGATGATATACTTAGAAGAATTCATGACATGTGAAAAGTTTTTCTTTCAGTTCCTTTGTATTATTAACAGTTGAAGTAATTTAAGAAATTAAAGGCAGAGATGAATTTTATTTGTTCCAAATGAGATTGAATATTGTGGTATTTGGGGAGATTCTTGAAGGATGGATAGGGCAGAACTCATGAGATATTCCAAAGACCAAAGCACTGAGGGGAAAAGGCCTTAGGGTTGCTGAGGAAGCCAAACACATGAGGATGGAGGACAGCAGATGCCATCTCAATTCTTCATTGTCTTGGAGATTCCAGAAGGTTTCCAGGTCTGGAAGCAGGCTAAGCATATTGTCACTGTCTCCTCTTTTTCTCCCACTATCTTAAACCTAAGTAATCAGATTCAATTGTTATAGAACATAGGGAAGGGAGGTAGAGTATGGAACATGCCATGTGAGCCATCTGTACTTTAGTGGACTCTGACAAGCCATAAGAGTCTTTGAAAAGGGGTGTGAAATTTACTTAATCATTAATTGAACTTGCTTAGAATACATACTGCATATCATCATCCTCTCCCACAGTAAATAGAGCTACTTGCTCATGTATAAATTTAGAGACTGATTATAGTAGAGCCTGATATTCTATACAGAATTCTTCATTTGAAAGGATATGTTTCATCTCTTGTAATTTAAGGTTTGCTTTACAGCATGCTCAACTTCTGAATGAATTCAGCAAATGATGAATTCTGTTGTAGTGAGACTTGATCAGAGAAATGTCCCTTTTCTATGTACATGGAGACTCTATTGAATGGGGGGAATAGCCCAAGGCAAGCTAAACAGAGAGCTATCTATATTTCTCCAGTTCCCCTCTTCTGGAAGCCAACTATGTTTTGACCCTCTACTTTTCCACACAGCTTTCCTTTCAGTTATTATGTGTGCCAGCTTTTCATTTCGCCTGTCATATTATACTTCAGATATGTCTCACACTATTTTGGTAAATCTGACATGCAGTAATACCACCACTCAAGAGGTGGCCAGGAGAATCAAGGCAAGACTGATTAGTTAAAGACCTTATCTCAAATACAAGAAGAATAGAAAAGGAGTGAGTAGGCGGGTGGATTTCTTGTGAGAACTAGTTTAGAACTAAAAGTAAGCTTAGCCATGAGAAACTGATGCATCAGTGAAGTCCTAAGAAATGTGTGGATCCACAGCTCACATGGAAACTTCATTCTTGATAGCTATGAAAAATTCATTCCAGTGGAGCAAGTTTTAGATGGCCAGGAACAATACAAAGTTGAAAAAAAAAAAACCTGACAATTTCCTCCATTTCATGCTCACAGTTCTTTCACAGGTGGGTGTTTGGGAGCAGGAATCAGGTTTCTAGGAAGAAAGGCTGGCAGAAAGAATAGATGTAATTGGAAATCCACATAGCCATAACATTTGAAAGACAGATGGTATATCAAAGACATGTATGACTCAAGGTTGCCAAGACAACAAGAAAAAGGGTACAGCTGCAGGCCAGGTGGGAGGAGAAATCTCTTACACTGGGAAAACTTGATGAGAAAAAGAAAAATCTTTATCTCCCTATCATTATGGCTGTTTATGTTCCTTCATATTAGACTTGTTAGTAACATCTTCTGTTAGTCCAATTGCAAACTTCATCAGCCAACATTATAAAGTTTGTATCATGAATGACTCAGCAGCTATATTGATATAGACTTAATGTGGAACATTAGTTTCTGTACAGGAAGAAAATGACCAAGACTGAAAGAATAACTAAACTTCAAAATGCTGTTTGTTCACATAAGAGTATAGAACTGGCCATATGCCAAGGTATAGACTTTCTGGGTTGAACTTTGACTATAACAAGAACAGCAAAAGATTTGTGTCAAGAATGACACTTAAATGGTTATGATGATGAAGTATCAGTTTCCTACTTGAAATTGATCCTGGAGTAGCTTTAGCTACCTTATTTAGAAAAATAAAAATAGTTACTTGAACATCAGTGTATTAGACTACATGTCTACCAAATAGAGTAATTTCCTTTTATGCGTGGAAAACAGGGCATGTTCAGTGAAGGGTAGGTGGCTTGAGGTGCTTGCAATGGTGTTTTTTAAATTGAAATTAGCATATCCATATATGGGTGAAGAAGATTGTTTGATGTAGATATGGCATTTGGTTCCCATTCTCTTCTCATCCTCTTATATCCCTTACAAAAAGGGGAAATCCTTTTGTAAAGGACCACTGTCTGCAGCATTTCCTGTCTCTAAGCAGGACTACTGAAACCTTTATGGGGACCATTATCGCACACTACTGCTTCCATTAATTGCCCGGCAGATGTTCAGCAGCCTCCTTTTTAAAGTGTTCAAGCCAGAGTATGTAGCTGGTGAGAGGCAGTGCATGATTTGGTTATTCTCCCAGGGAAATGAACTGTCTCTTTTCAGGAATTTACTAGCCTGATTTTGGTTTTCAAATTCAGTTCCCTATTTGCTTTCATGGGAGTACAAGGTAAGCATTTGCAGAAATCTGGGTGTCATTAGAGACTGGATTTTGCTTATCTCCTCCTGTATTCTCTCTTTGGGAATTCATTAATTTCTGTAGCTAAGCAGAGCTAAACTTTGAATGCAGTGTTTATTTTGTTCATAGTCTTCCCTGTGCTTCTTGGAAACTATGATTTCTCTTGAGGGTCTAGCCATACCTGACAGATATATTTCTAGAATTCTCTTTGCAGAAACAAGAGATTTGATGCTATGTGAGAATAAAGGGGAAATAAAGAACATGTGTTAAGAAGGTGTAGCCAAGGTCACAGCTTGAACAAATGCTTTTGGATTTTAGAACCTTGATTAGCAGACAGAGGCTAAAACATTTCAGAACCAGCCAGAGGGTTAAAAAGGGTATATAAATCAGTAACATTTGGGATTGTACTAATAATACTGATGTTTGGGAAAAAGTGTAACTGGGTTCATACAACCCACCCACCCCTAGCTTCTTCGGCTTTCTGCTCTCCTAAATCTATTTGTAATTTAAGACTTATCTATTATATGCCACCATATAAAAGATGTCAAGCTATTATGCCTCATTTGACAATAATTCCTTTAAATTTATGGTTCTTTAAGAGGATATAAGGCAAATTAGGACCCTCATTCCTTCTGCACAGGACAGAGCTGAACCACAAATACTCATGCATGAACACAGTGAACAGGGCAGTAACAATGAATAAGGCAGTAGCAGGGGAGCCACCTACTGCAATGATTCCTTAAGTAGTAAACTTGAGTAATAGTTCATAATTCATTCTCTTTATATCACAGAATTTTTAAATGATGTTGCAAAAAAAATGGTGATTTCTTGTTTATCAAAGAAGGTAAGTTTAGTGGCTTACGTTGGATTTGGTGTCATTAAGAATAAAATCTACCAGCGAGCTGGAATAGGAGGTTGAATCTCAGGAGGGAAGACTAAGACACTAAACTGTGAGCTTTAACTTTCCACTCCTGTCAGATGTTATATTCTTAGGTAAGAGAAGTTCACTGCCAGGTGAACAAATTCTACTTGTTGGTGCAAATATTTCAGGCCCCATCAAATGCTCCATCTTGGCTCCTGTGAACATTCATCATCAGAATTAAAATGTCCTTACATGTAGCTGGCATGGGGAGTGTGAAGAAGTTACTGGTTTATTGGTTGTTCTATGATAGAATAGACAAGAGTCTACATAAAGATAGACAGTAAGAGAAAGAAACCAAGGGGAATGTTCTGCAGATTCCATTTGAGAACACAATCTCAAATAGATTAATCCATATTAAAATGAAAAAAATTTCAGAGCTATTCATATTTCACCAGATTAGTTCATTGTGTAAATAAACTGAAATTTTGATAATGGGATCCCCTAGAGGAGCTGAGGTTGACTGGTTCTGAAGACCTTTTGGGTAAATAAAGCTGTCTTTCATGATTGGAAAACCTTTGTCCAAGCCAAGGTAGGATATCTTTGCTATAGACTACCTGATCCCCAGTCTGACCACATGGCAGTTAAGCTAAGAAACA